GGCAGTACAGATCGTCCTTGATTTACGGCAGACTGTTTAGTGACCATTCGGTCGATCTAACCTTCTCAATACTTGTAGACTCTAGGTAGCATGTGGAAGGGGTCCTCGGCCCCCGGTCCGTGGACTGGCACCGGTCCGCAGCGTGCCAGCAACCGGGCCGCACAAACAAGCAAAGCCCCATCCACAGGAGGCAGGCAGTACACAAAACCACACCCCCTCTGAAAAACCTTTCTCCAAGGCACCGGTCCCTGATGCCCAAAAGTTTGGGGACCTCTGGTGTATGGTGTCAATAGGAATACAGTTATTGGGGTGGTGTTTTGCACTGTGATTTCAGTGGAGGTTGAAACTCTGGCACTTAACATTTTTGGGGAGGCCTCATTAATCAGACTATTAATCAGACTTTGTTTGAGCTCCAGACCTGAGCAGGCTCAACTCACATCTTACGAGAAAGACTCACTGGAAATTCTAAGTTGCAAAGCGAAACCGGTAAATTGGAAAAAGGAGGGGGAAGAAGACAGCGGCAATCTGTTTTTTAATTATAACACCGCCAAGAAACAGTACAGGTAATCCTCAACTTACAACAGCTCACAGGGTCTGTTCGAAGTTACGACGACGCTGGAAAAAGTTGACCTATGATTGTTTTTCACACTTACGACCGTTGCGGCCTCCCCAGGGTCAGGTGATCAAAATTCAGACGCTTGGCAACTGACGTCATATTTGTGGCGGTTGCAGTGTCCCAGGATCATGTGATCCCCTTTTGCATCAAGGGGGAAGCCAAATTCACCTAACAACTGTAGTACTAACTTAAGAACTTCAGTGATTCACTTACCTGCGGCAAGAAAGGTCGTAAAATGGGGCAAAACCCGTTTAACAACTGTCTCACTTAGCAACCGGAATTTTGGGCTTGACTGTGGTCGTAAGTTGAGAACTACCTGTACAGAATCACCCTAGACCAGGGGTAGGCAACCTTGGCTCTTTTATGACTCGTGGACTTCAACTCCCAGAATTCCTGAGCCAGCCATGCTGAGGGGAAAGGGAGAGGTAGCCATGGTGGCTGAGGAATTCTGGGAGTTGAAGTCCACAAGTCATGAAGGGGCCATAGTGCCCTCATGCTGGCTGAGGAATTCTGGGAGTTGAAGTCCACCAGTCATAAAAGAGCCAAGGTTGCCTACCCATGGTCTAGGAGGCTCACCATTTAGAACAGGAGGACTTAGGACAGGGGTAGGCAACCTTTGCTCTTTTATGACTGGTGGACTTCAACTCCCAGAATTCCTCAGCCAGGCACGCTGAGGGAAAAGGGAGAAGTTTCCAAGCTGAGTCAGGCTGGCTCAGGAATTCTGGGAGTTGAAGTCCACCAGTCATAAAAGAGCCAAGGTTGCCTACCCCTGACCTAGAGGAACATATGAAAACATAATTAATGTTAATTAATGTAGATTTTATTAGTTTAGAGCAGGGGTAGGCAACCTTGGCTCTTTTATGACTCGTGGACTTCAACTCTCAGAATTCCTGAGGGGAAAGGGAGAGGTTTCCAAGCTGAGCCATGCTGGCTCAGGAATTCTGGGAGTTGAAGTCCACGAGTCATAAAAGAGCCAAGGTTGCCTACCCCTGCCCTAAACTATCAGTTTAGTCTTTCTAGGAAACAATGCCCCAGTCCTAAAGTGGTTCAATGTAGGCTGCAGATTTCCAGTGAGGAGATGCTGAGGACTCACCTGAACTTGTGGCTGGTGAGGTATTTCATAACGGCCGGCTTGATCCGAGCAACTCCCCCCTGGCTATGGTTTCCCCTTCCGGTGATCACGTAGAGATACGGCACGCCACCTGCTAGGCTGCACTCTGTTTCGCGAGAAGGATAAATGTTCTCTCTCTCTTCGTTTAAAAAAAAAACCCCAACAAGTTCAGCGATTCGAACGCGGCAATGTTGAAAAGAGCCCTGACCGATTCGTGAAGTGCAAATGCTGCGTGCGATAAACCAGCTTCTTCAACCCAGTTCAACCTATTCTGATCAGAATCTGCTTCGGTTTGGCTACGCAGAATAACCTCTGAACAAGAGGGCAAGAATGAAAAGCCAGATGTTTGAGAGGCCAAGCTCTACTTTTAACTCTCCCTCCAGACCACAACTGTGCCACGGCAGTTAATTTCAACAGCATTGAATGTCTTTTATTCCCATGTTCGTTCTCCGGAAGGACTGATCTGTTTACGTAGAAAGAGGAACTCTTACCTGTGGTTTTCTCCCGCAGCACTCTGGAGAGGTGACCCAAAGCTTCATCCACGTGAAGACCGTGAAGGTCCAAAAGGTTTATGGGCAGCTTTGAAGCGTTGACTTTCTCAAAGATTTGCTGAGCCGCGTCTTGATTCGCTTCTTTCATCTTCTGCTCGTGAAACTGGCCCTTCAGTCAAACACACAATTAAAAAACTTAGGTGCAACGCTGGCTACGGGGAGCACAAGCAAAGAGTGGAACCCTCACAGTATCTCAGAATAGGGAGCTGAGTCTTTGGACCACACATCAAAGAGGATCCTGATCTGTTTCAGGAAGCTGCAGATCCACCTAACTGCATGAAGCAGGAATAGGAAGGGAGGGAGGGAGGAAAAATAGAGGAAATGAAACATCACACGGTATGATCCGTGACTGAATACAAAGAGCAACTGATAATGGATACAGGTAGTCCTCACAATTGAGCCCAACATTTCTGTTGCTAAGTGAGGAATGTGTTAAGTGAAATTTTACCCCATTTGATGACTTTTCACTTAACGGCGGGGGCAAGGAAGGTGGTAAAATGGGGCAAAACCCATTTAACAACCATCTCACTTAGCAACAGAAATTTTGGGCTCAACATCAAAAGATGTTGAGACTCTAGAAAGAGTGCAGAGAAGAGTAACAAAGATGATCAGGGGACTGGAGGCTAAAACATATACAGAATTGGAATTGGGTCTGTCTAGTTTAATGAAGAGAAGGACGAGGGGGGACATGATAGCATTGTTCCAGTATCTCAGGGGCTGCCCCAAAGAAGAGGGAGTCAAGCTATTTTCCAAGGCGCCTGAAGGCAGGACAAGAAGCAACGGATGGAAACTAATCAAGGAGAGAAGCAACCTAGAACTAAGGAGAAACTTCCTGACAGTTAGAACAATTAACCAGTGGAACAACCTGCCTCCAGAAGCGGTGAGTGCTCCAACACTGGAAGTTTTTAAGAAGAGACTAGACAGCCATTTGTCCGAAATGGTATAGGGTTTCCTGCCTGAGCAGGGGGTTGGACCAGATGACCTCCAAGGTCCCTTCCAACTTTTTATTATTATTAGTATTATTATGGATCATCGCACAGTCAGCCAGATGTTCAGACTGGATTTGGCATTTTGTCTACCTATCGATTATTATTATTATTATCATCATCATCATCATCATCATCATCATCATCATCATCATCTGTGGTCATTAAGTAGAGGATGACCTGTATTTATTGGATCCTCGATTCTAGCCTCCGTGAAATTGTGGCGGTGAAGGGAGGAGGACCGCATCCATTTTTAAAATGATTTTTTTGAGAGCCACCGAATTGCGACGTTTGAAAAAACCACGTCCTGCTTCCTCAACGTTCAACCGGGCAACTGGTGACTTTCCGGAAGGGGCGTCTCTGTGCTGAAATGCTGCTTCGTCCTTGGTGAAAATCAGTCTTACCTGCTGCACGTAAAACGCCGCCACGGGCTTCATCCCCATGCGGTAGGCTTCTCCGGCTTTCCGCAGACATTCCTGCCTTTGCTGTTGGTGAAGGAAGGCCTCGGCCCTGAAGTCCTCGTAGCCTGGATACTGAGTGTCCTGGAATCCCTTCTCACTCAGGATGTCTTCCAGTTCTTTGGTCTTCATAGCCTGGGATTGAAAAGTGAGGTGCTTTATTATATTTTTTTATTACTTTTTTACACAAGCATAAGTTATTCAATAGTTGGTAAACAGTGTGATGTCTGGGTTACATTTGTAAAAACAGTCCTTAACAATTAATTTCTATAGTCTGTATTCCATATATTAATTTTGTTTACTTTCCTCTTTCCCTGAAATATAATAATAATAATAATAATAATAATAATAATAATAATAATAAAGTGAGGTGCTTTAGACACAACTCGAGGCAAAGCTTATGGGTCTAGCTCAGTGATGGCGAACCTTTTAGAGACCAAGNCTTAGCTATTCTTTATTCATATGCTTATTGCACTTTCGGTGGATCTTAATATTTATAATAGACTCGGCCTGCTCATAATGAGTTCTGTGGGAGTATTCAAAGGCTCCCAAATAGTGAATTATCTTTGCAATAACAGGGCTCCCTGATTCTAGCAAGTGACACGTATCAAAATAAGCAGTCAAGACCAAACCTCTAAAATAAATGGGGCCTTGCCTGTTCTCCCTCATCACATTTTTACTGTCCCGTCAGTCAGCATGTCGATGCATTAGGGAGATAAAACAGGAGGAGAAAAGATCTGAAAAGCTGAGATGCAAGCTACTACATTTTGTTTCCTGCCCTGTAAAGAAATGCAACCCATTTTTTATTTTTCTCCCTCTTTCCGAAGCGAGCCAAGGATTCTAACCCCAAACCTCGTAGAGTCCTTCGAAGCATCCGACGTAAGCTCAGCCAGAATTTCAAGAATTGTTTTAAATTTAAAATGGAACAGAGACCATGAACAACAACAAAAAAAAAGCACTACATTCCAGATGTTTAGGGATATTTGTTAAACGAAAAGGGCAGAGTTATTCCGATTGGAAGCTTGGCTTCCCTTTGAAAATTGGGGAACTTCTCAATAAGCAGGGCGGCTTATAAAAGTACTGCTCATTAAAAGACACACAAGAGAGATTTGGTAAGGGGAAAACACAATGACACAAATGCCTGCTGATGGTTAAGCCCTTCCCACTGAAACACTGTTTTCGACAGGGACGCGTTTATCCCGTTAAAAAACGCAAAGTTGTTTCTTGCTTCGGCAACATCGGCTTTTCCAATCCTCTTGGAGGGGGGGGGGCTTCCTTTTATTCCAGCCAGATTTTAAAACAGCCTGACTTTATTTCTGTGAACCTGCAGACCAGGAAGAGATTTGACTTAAAATATGTTCTGAATAAATGACCTTAGGTTGAATTCAAACAACGGTGAACAGAAGGAACATGAAAACAAAAAAAAAAAATCACAAAAAAATCCCCCTTACACATACACACAGTTCTTAGGTATCTGTTGTCCTCTAAATATTTTTATGGACCTATTCTATTCAATCTCTCTCAGGATTTCACCTCCCAGTCTTCCACCAATTTCATAACAGCATATTTCTTAGGTTTATTTGCTGATGTTCCTCCTAGTAATCTTTTACAGTCAAGTGCAAAGAACAGCACCGCCCTGATCCGATAGCCGAATAACTGACCTCGTGAGCCACGGCGTAACAGCTTCATAAAAACTGGGTCGACGAAGTGGGCACTCTGAAGACACAGTGGCATGTGACTGACATTAGGCAGTACAGATCGTCCTTGATTTACGGCAGACTGTTTAGTGACCATTCGGTCGATCTAACCTTCTCAATACTTGTAGACTCTAGGTAGCATGTGGAAGGGGTCCTCAGCCCCCGGTCATTGGACTGGCACCGGTCCACAGCGTGCCAGCAACCGGGCCGCACAAACAAGCAAAGCCCCATCCACAGGAGGCAGGCAGTACACAAAACCACACCCCCTCTGAAAAACCTTTCTCCATGGCACCGGTCCCTGATGTCCCAAATGTTTGGGGACCTCTGGCGTATGGTGTCAATAGGAATACAGTTATTGGGGTGGTGTTTTGCACTGTGATTTCAGTGGAGGTTGAAACTCTGGCACTTAACATTTTTGGGGAGGCCTCATTAATCAGACTATTAATCAGACTTTGTTTGAGCTCCAGACCTGAGCAGGCTCAACTCACATCTTACGAGAAAGACTCACTGGAAATTCTAACTTGCAAAGCGAAACCGGTAAATTGGAAAAAGGAGGGGGAAGAAGACAGCGGCAATCTGTTTTTTAATTATAATACCGCCAAGAAACAGTACAGGTAATCCTCAACTTACAACAGCTCACTTAGGGTCTGTTCGAAGTTACGACGACGCTGGAAAAAGTTGACCTATGACTGTTTTTCACACTTACGACCGTTGCAGCCTCCCCAGGGTCAGGTGATCAATATTCAGGCGCTTGGCAACTGACTCATATTTATGATGGTGGCAGTGTCCCAGGATCACGTGATCCCCTTTTGCGTCAAGGGGGAAGCCAAATTCACTTAACAACGGTAGTACTAACTTAAGAACTTCAGTGATTCACTTACCTGCAGCAAGAAAGGTCGTAAAATGGGGCAAAACCCGTTTAACAACTGTCTCACTTAGCGACCGAAATTTTGGCCTCGACTGTGGTCGTACGTCGAGAACTACCTGTACGGAATCACCCTAGAACAGGGGTAGGCAACCTTGGCTCTTTTATGACTCGTGGACTTCAACTCCCAGAATTCCTGAGCCAGCCATGCTGAGGGGAAAGGGAGAGGTTTCCAAGCTGAGCCATGCCGGCTCAGGAATTCTGGGAGTTGAAGTCCACGAGTCATAAAAGAGCCAAGGTTGTCTACCCCTGACCTAGAGGAACATATGAAAGCATAATTAATGTTAATTAATGTAGACTTTATTAGTTTAGAGCAGGGGTAGGCAACCTTGGCTCTTTTATGACTGGTGGACTTCAACTCCCAGAATTCCTGAGGGGAAAGGGAGAGGTTTCCAAACTGAGCCATGCTGGCTCAGGAATCCTGGGAGTTGAAGTCCACCAGTCATAAAAGAGCCAAGGTTGCCTACCCCTGACCCAGACTATCAATTTAGTCTTTCTAGAAAACAATGCCCCAGTCCTGGAGCGGTTCAATGCAGGCTGCAGATTTCCAGTGAGGAGATGCTGAGGACTCACCTGAACTTGTGGCTGGTGAGGTATTTCATAACGGCCGGCTTGATCCGAGCAACTCCCCCCTGGCTATGGTTTCCCCTTCCGGTGATCACGTAGAGATACGGCACGCCACCTGCTAGGCTGCACTCTGTTTCGCGAGAAGGATAAATGTTCTCTCTCTCTTCGTTTAAAAAAAAAACCCCAACAAGTTCAGCGATTCGAACGCGGCAATTTTGAAAAGAGCCCTGACCGATTCGTGAAGTGCAAATGCTGCGTGCGATAAACCAGCTTCTTCAACCCAGTTCAACCTATTCTGATCAGAATCTGCTTCGGTTTGGCTACGCAGAATAACCTCTGAACAAGAGGGCAAGAATGAAAAGCCAGATGTTTGAGAGGCCAAGCTCTACTTTTAACTCTCCCTCCAGACCACAACTGTGCCACGGCAGTTAATTTCAACCGCATTGAATGTCTTTTATTCCCATGTTCGTTCTCCGGAAGGACTGATCTGTTTACGTAGAAAGAGGAACTCTTACCTGTGGTTTTCTCCCGCAGCACTCTGGAGAGGTGACCCAAAGCTTCATCCACGTGAAGACCGTGAAGGTCCAAAAGGTTTATGGGCAGCTTTGAAGCGTTGACTTTCTCAAAGATTTGCTGAGCCGCGTCTTGATTCGCTTCTTTCATCTTCTGCTCGTGAAACTGGCCCTTCAGTCAAACACACAATTAAAAAACTTAGGTGCAACGCTGGCTACGGGGAGCACAAGCAAAGAGTGGAACCCTCACAGTATCTCAGAAGAGGGAGCTGAGTCTTTGGACCACACATCAAAGAGGATCCTGATCTGTTTCAGGAAGCTGCAGATCCACCTAACTGCATGAAGCAGGAATAGGAAGGGAGGGAGGGAGGGAGGAAGGAAAAATAGAGGAAATGAAACATCACACGGTGTGATCCGTGACTGAATGCAAAGAGCAACTGATAATGGATACAGGTAGTCCTCACAATTGAGCCCAACATTTCTGTTGCTAAGTGAGGAATGTGTTAAGTGAAATTTTGCCCCATTTGATGACTTTTCACTTAACGGCGGGGGCAAGGAAGGTGGTAAAATGGGGCAAAACCCATTTAACAACCGTCTCACTTAGCAACAGAAATTTTGGGCTCAACATCAAAAGATGTTGAGACTCTAGAAAGAGTGCAGAGAAGAGCAACAAAGATGATCAGGGGACTGGAGGCTAAAACATATAAGGAACGGTTGCTGGAATTGGGTATGTCTAGTTTAATTAAGAGAAGGATGAGGGGGTACATGATAGCAGTCTTCCAATATCTCAGGGGCTGACCCAAAGAAGAGGGAGTCAAGCTATTTTCCAAGGCGCCTGAAGGCAGGACAAGAAGCAACGGATGGAAACTAATCAGAGAAGCAACCTAGAACTAAGGAGAAACTTCCTGACAGTTAGAACAATGCACCAGTGGAACAAGCTGCCTCCAGAAGCGGTGAATGCTCCAACACTGGAAGTTTTTAAGAAGAGACTGGACAGCCATTTGTCCGAAATGGTATAGGGTTTCCTGCCTGAGCAGGGGGTTGGACCAGATGACCTCCAAGGTCCCTTCCAACTTTATCATCATCATCATCATCATCATCATTATCATCATCATCATTATTATTATTAACTGTGGTCATTAAGTAGAGGACGACCTGTATTTATTGGATCCTCGATTCTAGCCTCCGTGAAACCGTGGCGGTGAAGGGAGGACCGCGTCCATTTTTAAAATGATTTTTTTGAGAGCCACCGAATTGCGATGTTTGAAAAAACCACGTCCTGCTTCCTCAACGTTCAACCGGGCAACTGGTGGCTTTCCGGAAGGGGCGTCTCTGTGCTGAAATGCTGCTTCGTCCTTGGTGAAAATCAGTCTTACCTGTTGCACGTAAAACGCCGCCACGGGCTTCATCCCCATGCGGTAGGCTTCTCCGGCTTTCCGCAGACATTCCTGCCTTTGCTGTTGGTGAAGAAAGGCCTCGGCCCTGAAGTCCTCGTAGCCTGGATACTGAGTGTCTTGGAATCCCTTCTCGCTCAGGATGTCTTCCAGTTCTTTGGTCTTCATAGCCTGGGATTGAAAAGTGAGGTGCTTTATTATATTTTTTATTAATTTTTTTACACCAGCATAAGTCATTCAATAGTTGGTAAACAGTGTGATGTCTGGGTTACATTTGTAAAAACAGTCCTTAACAATTAATTTCTATAGTCTGTATTCCATATATTAATTTTGTTTACTTTCCTCTTTCCCTAAAATAATAATAATAATAATAATAATAATAATAATAATAATAATAATAATAATAATAATAATAATAATAATAATAAAGTGAGGTGCTTTAGACACAACTCGAGGCAAAGCTTATGGGTCTAGCTCAGTGATGGCGAACCTTTTAGAGACCAAGTGCCCCAAAACCAGCCCCTCCCCATCCCGCCTGCTCCGCCCCTCCCTTCCCCCCACCCGCAGGGCCACTCACTACCTCCACGGCCCACTGCAGATCGCCCAGGCGGCCCAGCAGCACCATGGCGGCTACGCCTTCCACCCACGCCCCGTAGCATCAACTGTGCACGATGGGCACGAGGGTGGAGTCTTGTCCCTGCTGCCCGGCTGCCATGTCCTTGGCTGCCCTGCTCCGCGCGGGCCGCGCCCGACTCTCCTCCAGGGGGGCTGCTGGTGAGGAGGGGGCCAGAAGGGGAGGTGGGGCTGGGGTGATGGCGCGCGTGCCCACAGAGAGGGCTCTCGAGTGCCGCCTCTGGCATGCGTGCCGTAGGTTTGCCACCACTGGCCTAGCTGAAGGACAGCCAAGAAGAAGCTGTCCTGCATCGTCCCGTGGAAAGGGAGCTTCGCTTAGTGCCAACAGGAGAATATATTTGAAGAATGAAGGCAATATATATGTGTCCCGGGAGAATGTTGCAGGATTCAATCTATTTGTAGCTCAGGATTGAACCGTGGGGTCCTTGTTGTTCTCTGAGCTTGGTGATTTTCTTGCAGATGTTTCATGACCCAACTAGGCAACAACATCAATGCTAGAAGGGGTTTGCGGAGAGGAGGAAGAGGGAGGAGGAGGAAGAGAAGGAGGGACTGTGGGGTCCTTCATGCTCTCTGAGCTTGGTGATTTTCTTGGAGATGTTTTATGACCCAACTAGGGAACATCATCATAAGAGAGTGGGATTTATGGAGGAGGAGGAGGAGGAGGAGGAGAAAAGGACTCTTATTATTATTATTATTATTATTAATTTAATTTATATCCCGCCCTTCTCCTTACGGACTCAGGGCGGCTAACAACCAAATAAAACACTAATCCCCAAAAACTACAATTTAAAAACATAAGTAAAAACAAATATTAGTAATTTGGTCAAGTTAATTTAAAAATTGCTTTAAAACCCCATTAAAATTTTCCCCTAGGCCAGTCCTGCAAGTTGGAATAGCCATGTCTTAAGGGCACGGCGGAAGGAAGGGAGATCAGGGATCACCCTGATCTCTGGGGGTAGCTCATTCCAGAGTGTGGGAGCTCCCACAGAGAAGGCCCTCCCCCTTGGGGTCGCCAGCCGGCACTGTCTGGCTGACGGCACCCTGAGGAGACCCACTCTATGGGAGCGTACAGGCCGATGGGAGGTAATCTGTGGCAGAAGGCGGTCTCGAAGATATCCTGGTCCGCTGCCTTAAAGCGCCTTAAAGATGATAGTCAGCACCTTGAAGCACACCCGGAAGGCCACCGGCAGCCAATGCAGCTCGCGCAGCAGCGGTGTTACGTGGGAGCGACGAGTCCCTCCCAGCACCACCCACGCGGCCGCATTTTGGACTAGCTGGAGCCTCCGGGTGCTCCTCAAGGGAAGCCCCATGTAGAGAGCATTACAGTAGTCCAGGCGGGAGGTGCTTGTTGCTCTCTGAGCTTGGTGGTTTTCTTGCAGACGTTTCATGACCCAACTAGGCAACAACATCAATGCTAGAAGGGGTTTGCGGAGAGGAGGAAGGAGGAGGAAGAGAAGGAGGGACTGTGGGGTACTTCATGCTCTGTGAGCTTGGTGGTTTTCTTGCAGATGTTTCAGGACCCAACTAGGGAACATCATCATAAGAAAGTGGGATTTGAGGAGGAGGAGGAGGAGGAGGAGGAGGAGGAGGAGGAGGAGGAAAAAAAAAGGCTGTGGGGTTCTTGGTGCTCCCTCAGATTGGTGGTTTTCTTGTGGACATTTCATGACCCAAATAAGTAACATCATCAGTGCTGGAAGGGAGTGGATTTTGCTCTCTGTTTCTCTACAAGTGGCCTGCCCTGCCAATGTTGTGGGAGTGTTCTTGGTGGTGTCTTGATTAGGGTACCGTTTATTGAGTTTGTAGTCCCTCGACCGGGGTACTCTTTACCACTTGATGCTAACCTCTACTTATCTGGGTGTTGACTGCTGGTCAGGAGGACCTGTGATTTTTTCGGGATTTTGGATCGTGTCCTTTGAAAAAGGCCACGGGAAGAGACTAGAAGACTTTGAAATGTGGATTGACAGGCGGCTGTTACGTAGAAGCTGGGTGGACAAGATCAGAAATGAGGAGGTGATCAGCCGCCTGGGAAAGCCCAGGGAATTCACCAAAACAATTAAAAACCAAAAATTAGAATATTTCGGACACCCAGAAAAACACGGCCTACTCCATTTAATCCTCCAGGGAAAGATGGAAGGCCAACGAGGTCCAGGTAGAAGAAGAACATTGTGGCTTCAGAATCTAAGGGCCTGGTTTGGACAAAACTCAGCAGCACTTTTTCGTGCGGCTGCTGATAAAAACAGGATTGCCAACACGATCGCCAACGTCTGATAACGGATACGGCACAAGAAGAAATCCTTTGAACGGCATGTAGATATGGTCACCCTATTTGCCCAAGGAAACCTCTGCGAGAAAACAGCCAAGCTCAGCGAGCATCAAGGCCTCCACTTCACTTAAGTCAGTGGTTCTCAACCTGTGGGTCGGGACCCCATTTGGGGTTGATCGACCATTTCATGGGGGTCGCCAAGCAAGGCTGTCCGCCATTTTTTTTGTCTGCCATTTTTTTGTCCGCCATTTTTTCCCCCTTTTCCGGCGGGTGCCTTACCTCCCTTGGACTGGGCCAGCTGGTGGTCGGCCTGCTCCGTCTCTGCCGCTTGCCAGCTACGCCTCTGCCGGCGCAGGGGCCGGAACCACGCATACGCGGTGCTCCCGGGCAGGGAAAGTCCTCGACTTACGACCGGTTGGGTAGTCCTCGACTTACGACCGGTTTAGTCCTCGACTTACGACCGGTTGGGGGTCGCGGCATTAAAAAGGTTGAGAACCACTGACTTAAGTCTTTTTAAAGCCCCTTTCAGAAGATTCCACCAAATAGCTTTTTTTTTTTTTACCTTTTTCTCTCGGCTCTTGGAAGCGTTGCTAGGAGACCGCGCGGCGTTCTGAGCCGGTTCTTTAGCGACCACGTTTTTTATGGGATCTGCCTCTAGAACACTGTTGAGGAACTGGACCGTTTGTTCCAGGGAATAACTGACAAATTGGGAAAGAAGAAGAACAACAACACAAGGAATAATTTCAGGCGGAACAGCTTTCGCGGAGCCGATCTCCCCCGTCTTACGCAAGGAAAACTCACTTGTAGTCCTTGAAGATGTCCATCAAGAAGTTTGCGCTGATGGTTGGGAACAACTCCAAAAGTTGTTTCTCCTTCAGTTTGGCAGCACAGTCTTTTTTAGCGATGCAGGGGAAAGGCTTCTGCCCCACAAAGAGAGAGAAAAAAAAACAATTCTATCTCTAGGAAAGTGCTTCTCTAATGCTACAGCGCAAATAATAAACCACATATTTTTGTATTTTTTGCAATAACTATTACCACATCTGCTTGCATATAAGCTCTTTTATGACTTGTGGATTCCAACTCCCAGAATTCCTGAGCCAGCATGGCTCAGCTTGGAAACCTCTCCCTTTCCCCTCAGCATGGCTGGCTCAGGAATTCTGGGAGTTGAAGTCCACCAGTCATAAAAGGGCCAAGGTTGAAGACCCCTACCCTAGGTCTAGAGTGTAGAGCAGGGGTGGGCAACCTTGGCTCTTTTATGACTCGTGGACTTCAACTCCCAGAATTCCTGAGCCAGCGTGGCTCAGCTTGGAAACCTCTCCCTTTCCCCTCAGTGTGGCTGGCTCAGGAATTCTGGGAGTTGAAGTCCACCAGTCATAAAAGAGCCAAGGTTGCCTACCCCTGATCTAAACTAATAAAATCTACATTAATTAACATTAATTATGCTTTCATATGTTCCTCTAGGTCAGGGGTAGGCAACCTTGGCCCCTTCATGACTCGTGGACTTCAACTCCCAGAATTCCTGAGCCAGCATGGCTCAGCTTGGAAACCTCTCCCTTTCCCCTCAGCATGGCTGGCTCAGGAATTCTGGGAGTTGAAGTCCAGGAGTCATAAAAGGACCAAGGTTTCCCCACCCCTGATTCTAGGATGTTCCTGCCAGCTTAGTTCCCCTTCTATTCCCTCACCTGGCTGGCTGAGGAATTCTGGGAGTTGAAGTCCACACATCTTAAAGTTGCCAAGTTTGAAGACCCCTGATCTAGGTGCAGGGGTGGGGAACCTTGGCTCTTTTATGACTTGTGGACTTCAACTCCCAGAATTCCTGAGCCAGCATGGCTCAGCTTGGAAACCTCTCCCTTTCCCCTCAGCACAGCTGGCTCAGGAATTCTGGGAGTTGAAGTCCAGGAGTCATAAAAGGGCCAAGGTTGCCTAGCCCTGGTCTGGACCCTACTGGGAACCAGAACAGAGAACACAATGCTCCAAAACACTGGGAGACCGGCAACTGGGTTGTTGGGACCAGGATGAGACGTACAGGAAATACACAAGAGCAGAAGCAGCAAGCGGTACCGTACCAGAGTTAGTCTTTCTTGCAGAGCTATTTCTTCAGACATGATCTCCCGGAGCGAAACCTTCTGGGTGTGGACGTTCCAATGATCCATGTAAGGGAAAACTTCGGAAGCCGCCGAGCTTTCAGCCGATGCAGCCATAGGTAAGCTTTCCTGCTCCCGCCCTTGGAAATCAGCAGCATATTGGGAAAGCAGGCCATCCACTTGGCCCGGGTGCAGTTGCTCAAACAGCACGGGATCTTTAGAACAAAGAACAACCGAAGATGAAATGGCATTTTATTTATATATATATATATATTCGGGAAACCACAAACTGTGAGACCACCACCAGATTAAAAACTATAAAAGTTTAATAAAGTTAAAAACACCTAGCTTTCGCCGGCCTTCTGCCAGCATCATCAGGGTGACTAGCAGTCAATGGGATGGCTATTTATAGGAGTGGTGCCTTTTGCACCCAACTCCTGGACCTCGTGACCGGGCCCAAACGATCTTCCTAGCCATCCCATTGACTGCTAGTCACCCTGATGATGCTGGCAGAAGGCCGGCGAAAGCTAGGTGTTTTTAACTTTATTAAACTTTTATAGTTTTTAATCTCCTGGTGGTCTCACAGTTTGTGGTTTCCCGAATATGGATTTACCCAGGAGTCAACCTTCTATTTTTAGGATTTTAAACAATATATATATTACCTTGAGTGCTTTTTGATGCACATCAAAAAGCACTCAAGGTAATTCTCCTCCCCTGTCTCTTCCCTCCCTGACACAGCTGACAAAGTGAGAAAGAGCCTGTGGCCTGGAGGTTAACACAGCTGCTTAACATGCAGGCAGCCCAGGTTCGAATCTCAGAAGGGTATGTTTGGCTGATGAGAGCTAAAAAGTTCGAAATAGCTATTCCATTCTCCCTTAGTTTTTTCCACAGACCAGAGTGTGCGTAGTTTTGTGTGCTGCCTGCATCCCGCAGATGGGGCTTTGCTTATTTTGTGTGGACCAGTTGGATAAGCTAAAAAATTTGGATGCCGACAAGCGCTCAAAAGATCAGGTTCACCTACCTGTGGCTGGGCAGCATATATGGAAATATACTGCTCAAAAAAATAAAGGGAACACATCCTATAAGAAATCCTATAGGATGTGTTCCCTTTATTTTTTTGAGCAGTATATTTTCTAAAAGGACAGTATAGATAGTCCTTAATTTACCACAGTTTGTTTAGTGACCGCTCAAAGTTACAACGGCACTGAAAAAACTGACGGTTGTTCACACGGCTCTTGCAGCCTCCCCACGATCAGGTGATCAAAATTCAGATGGTGGGCAACTGACTCATACTTATGACCATTGCAGTATCCTGGGTTCACGCCATCCCCTTTTGTGACCTTCTGACAAGCAAAGTCAAGGTGGAAGCCAGATTCACTTAACAACTGCACTGATTTACTTAACAATTGTGGCACGGGAGGTCATAAAATGGGGCAAAAGTCAGCAACTTTCACCTAGCAATGGAAATGTGGGGCTCAGCTGTAGTCGTAAGCTGAGGACTGCTTGTATACTTAATGGGTAAAGCAAGAAGTTGGGGTGTCAAAATGCAATCAAAAGCCCGCGCTTCACGCTAATTAGGGGAATATGATTTATGACTGTGTATTGGAGGAGGGAATTGTGCTTTGTTAATTTGTATCCAGGGGAAGGGAATTTAGTTTTTGGGTACAACTATGTAGTGCCGATACTTTGTTTCCCGAATAAAAGATTCTTTAAGGTAAACAATGCCTCGAAGTTCTTTTGAAGGGTTTCATCTGTCGGAACTACGACAGTGTGGACTTCAACTCCCAGAATTCCCCAGCCAGCCATGCTGGCTGGGGAATTCTGGGAGTTGAAGCCCACACATCTTAAAGTTGCTGACATTGACAAACACTGGTAACGGGAGCAGGCATAGGAGGAAGCAAAAATTTTGCAACGGCAGATTTTACGAACAGAAGAACCATGATTTAATTGAAGACAATACTTACTTTTTTCAAAAAGTTTGCACCATTCTTCTTCTCTCCTCTGACGCTTCTAAATCAAAACATTGATAATACATGGTGAGTACTAATAGTACACTGAAGACTGCCATTATTTTGCCAGGGCCACAAAAATCTTCAATCAAGAGCCTTAGTGATTATCCTCCGTTTGCACTTACATCCCCCATTATGAAATGTTTCGAAAGGCTGATAAAGGACTTTATTATATCCAGCCTCCCTCCAGCATTTGACTCACTTCGGTTCGCTCACTGTCTGAATCGCTCCGCAGAGGATGCTATTTCCTCTGCTCTCCCTATGAGCTTGGCGCACTTGGAGTAAACAAATATTTATGTGCGAATGCTGTTCGTCGACTTGGTTTTGTGTTTAATACGACCATTCCTCAGCATTTAGTAGACAAACTGGGCCTTTTAGGGTATATATTTTTTAAAGAAATGTGTTTCGACCAAGTGCAATGTAATCTATATCTATATAAATAAAAATGTAAATGTTCGTTTGTTCAAAATCTTAAATCTCTGAAAGTTCTTCACCGATTGCTTTGAAATTTTGACACAACGTTGCATTCGAATACGCGCGTGCTTTTATATACCTACTATTATATAGATGTCACACCGGTGACAGGTAAAAACATGCTTTTTTAAAAAAAACAGCGCCATCTGTTGGACGTAAAAACAACACACGCTAGCATTGTGAAATTAAACATATTACAAACGTGCGCTTTCTCTTTTATTTCTTTTCCATTTAACCAGACTCAGCCACAGCAACGCATGGCCGGGTACAGCTAGTTGTTCTATAAATTATTGAAATGTCAATAATTTATACAGCAAGTCAAAAAAAAAACCATATTCTGTAATATAATGCATGCCACTGTAATAAGTCATGAACAATAATAAGCCTATCGTTTGAATTAAGCTGACTAACCATAATAGATGCTTTCCATTTGTCATGAATTTCTCTGGCCAAATTCAGATCAATATGAACCACATAGTCATCAGGAGTTAGTGATCCTTATGGAAGGAGGGGGAAAAAATGAGGTAAAAGTCACATACAAATTTAAAGAGAGTCCCATGGTATTTAGTTAAATGCTTTTTTTTAATAAGACATAAGTGTGCTTTCGTTTTTTGTTTTTTTTTAAATGTGCCATCTAAATAAGGTGCAAGCATATAAATGCTATAAATTGGAGATGTCCAGTCTTGGCAACTTTAAGATCTGTGGACTTCAACTCCCAGAATCAACTCCCAACCGGTAAGCCAAGACCAAAATCATATTTATTCGTTTTTCAAATTTCTCTCTGCTGCAATCTCTTTATGTAGGAAATGTTGATTAGGGTGATAAAAGATGAAGTCCAAAATATTTGGATAGCATTAGATTAGCTACACACTCTAGATTCTGGGCTCTTAATCAGAACAGAGTTGACTGCTATAAGATAAAATAACATTGAAGCTTTTACTACAACCGATTAATCAGTTGCAGTAAACTGATTTACTACAACCTCCTCATAAATTAGCAGCTAGCCAGCCACAGAACAATGAACATCAAACCCATGTAGCAGGCCAAAAATAAACTATGAATTATGAACAGTGACATACAGTGGCTTAACTCAAAATAAAAGCTTGGAATGCTTACATATTATTGCCTAATCTGTACCAACTTCTATTACTTAACCCAGGGCTTCCTCAAATTTGGCAACTTTAAGACTTGTGCAAGGAATTCTGGGAGTTGAAGTCCACAAGTCTTAATGTTGCCAAGGTTGAAGACCCCTGATTTAACCTCTTCAGTTCTTCTAAAGGTGAAGATCTGTTAGGTATGTACAATCATCAGTTCCCAGTTCCTAAGGAATTTGCTATTTTATTTCAGTAAAACAGTCCACTGATGTTATTACCTGTATCAACTCCAACCGGTCCAAATATTTCACTTAACTGCATGGCTAATTCTGGCGCTAAGACCAGCTCGAGGCAATCGATGGTCACAGACTTTGAGTGGGACACGGAGTTCTGCAACTTGACCATCCCAGGATCTCGTTTGGAGTCTTCTCTTTGCGTCGGAACCACCACGCCGGGACCGCCCTCCGTTTTTCTGCCCTGCTCGAATCGGTCGCTTTCTGCCCTGCTCGAATCAGTTGCTTCCCTTCTTTCCAAATCAGAGGTGTCTTCTGGAAATGGACCCTCCTGAAGGTCCGCTGGAGTCTGGGCGTCTTCCACATCACGGGTGGCTTTCCAGGAGCCACCAACTTCGTCACGAACAGCGACGTCCGTTTCACGAACGGAAGAGCTACTCCGCGGCTCGTTCTCCGATCGCGTCCAGGAAATTCTCTGCTTTGTTTGCCCATTCAAAGGATCTCCCTCCGGGTCGGAGGAGTCTGCGTGTTCTCCTGTAGCAGGTAACGGATGGATTTTGTTTTCTCCCGAAGAAGAATTTACACCTTTTCCTGCAGGAGGGTCAGAAATGTCCTCACCGTTGTCACCGAGGGGGACTTCGGCTATTTCGGACGGGTGAGTAAGGAAGGAAGGAAGAGACATGTCAGGAAGCGGAACCTCTGCTTTCTGCAGGCCTTCAACGTCGTCTTCTTTGCACAGTTTCTCGGCCGAGTCTAACAGCAGGCCCGTAGCCCAGTCCATATCTCGGTTACACCGTTCGTACAAATCTTTGATGGCATCAAAGGAAAGAGACCCAAAGAGTTTGCACAAAATGTTGAGGTTCTCAGATTCATCCACACTCACAAGCTCGCTTTCTTCTACGTAGGTGCTTCTCTCGTAGGTTGCTTTATAGGGTATCTTTTCCGGACAATCTGGAATAGTTTCAACCCTTTTGGGTACGAATCCGTCGAGCCTGCCGTGTAATACTTTTGTATCTTCTGAAAAAACAATTTCTCTCTCCAGTCTCCACAGAAGGGCGAAATCCCGTGGTTCTGTCTGTGAATATTTAGTAGCCTCGGACGCCGCACGTTCGTTGGGTTTTTCTTCGGTCCAGTTGCACAGAGACGGCGCTTCTCCTGGTTTGTTGAGGGCTGAATTGTTGGTAAAGGTTAAAGCTAATTTATGGTGCTTACGTGTTCTTTTATTCGGCGGCGCCTTTTTCTCACCGAGAGCTTCCGAAGCTGCGATTTCAGATCCTTGAAAGTGTTCCTCCTTCGAAGGGGCCCACTGCTCTTCAACATCTGCAGATGTTTCGTCCGGCAAAGACGTTGCGTTCCCATCATCAGCGTTGACCTCATGTTGACTGTTTCCTAATCCCTCTGACTCACTAACATCTCGCTTGGTTACTCTTTTCATTCTGTGTCGTCTTTGCTGCAAAGTTTGGACCGGCCAGTCTCCTACCATCAGCAATTCTGTTGTATGGACTTCTGTATTAACCTCAGGCATCGACGTGGAAGGAAAGTTATAGTTGTTTTCTTCACACTTATCTTTACACCTTTCTTCAGAAAGTGGCAGTTCCTGAGGGCCGTCTACGAAATCTGATTTTTTACCTTCACTTGTATTTTTTAATGAATCAAGGGTAGATGTTGGTACACTTAAATCTCCTTTGTCCCTTCCGGCATGTTTGTCTAATCTTTTATTTCTTTTTACCCTTTGCCCCATCGTTTGTTCTACTGGCCAGTCTCCCACAAAGCTGAACAGTTCAGGTTTTACTGAGTTGCCATCTTTGTTTTGCGTTTCGGTCAATTCTGCCTCTGTTATTTCATGACGTGCAGTTGCTTCAATCTGAAGTTTCAACTCACTCTTATTGCACAACAGAGTGTCGTCACTGGAATCCAAGACTGGTCTTAACTCGGTTTCCAGAACGGATTCCATTTCGATCTCTGCTGGTAAAGCATCAGCATCCAAGCAGTCTATACTACATTCAGAACTGGATTCTTGTGAATCAGGTCCAGCTCTTCTCGTCTCGTTTTGAAGATTCCGATCTTCTGCTGTAACTTCTTCTAAAGCAGCTTTTTCACCTAGATTTAACTCTACACTTTGCAAAGAGGAAGCTAACGTTTCTTTCTGGTCGTCTTTCCTACAAGACAAATATATGTGTTTTAATGCACACGTCGGCGAAGTTTGCTTCTGCTAAAACATTTTAGGGCATAACCTGAAACGGCGTAGGTAGACCAGAAGGAAGAAGATAAAGCATGTTAAAAGGACCGATGAAAACTCAAAACTATTTCCCTTGGACAAACGAGGATTTTTTGTTGAAACGAAGACTCGAATGCTTAAGGAATCGCAGACTAAATAACACCGAGATGGCTGGTTTTCGTTTTACATTTCATTAAGACTCTAAACCAGTGGTGGCGAACCTATGGCACGGGTGCCAGAAGCGGCACTCGGAGCCCTCTCTGTGGGCACACATGCCGTTGCCCCAGCCTTGCTTCCGCCCGCGACCCCCTCCTCACCAGCAGCCTCCCTGGAGGAGAGTTGCCCCTGAGCGTGGCCCACACGGAGCAGCGCAGCCAAGAACATGGCAGCCAGGCAGCGTAGACAAGACTCTGCCCTCACGCCCCAACGCGCACAGTCGATGCTGCGGGGCGTGGGCAGAAGGCGTGGCCGCCATGGTGCTGCTGGGCTGCCTGGGCGATCTGCGGCGGGCCCTGGAGGCGGTGAGTGGCCCTGCAGGCAGGAAGGGTGAGGCGGAGCGGGAGTGGGGTGGGGCAGGGGGTAGGGCAGGGGCGGGGCCAGTTTCTGGGCACTCAGTCTCTAAAAGGTTCGCCATCACTGCTCTAAACTAAAACCAAGTGGAAGAGACTGCATTGGTTTTGAGCTGGCGGACAGAAAAAAGCCAAGGTACCAATATAAAGATATGACTATTTTAGCAGAAACAACCACGTCTTTATATTATCTACTGAAACAAACAGGGAGGTCTACAAAGGTAAAAGAAATTGACACGAGCATTACGCACATTGTTCTATTATTTTTCTTTCCTTATTAAAATCTGTCATCAGATACGGAGATGGTCTACAGCTTTTGCAATTATTTTCACAGAATGCTATATATACATTTCTTACTATGCTAGTGTAGCAAACCAGTCTGAGCTCAAGTTTTGCTGCTGGAAAAGCGGCAACAGCAAATATCCAGGAAACACAAAGTTATCATTTCTGCTTCAGGGATTTCATTGAAAATGTTCAATAAATTGTTCTGAGAATTGCCCTGAGTAAGGAACTCTGACAGAGCCTGACGTTCTAGCACAGTGGTTCTCAACCTTTTTAATGCCGCGACCCCAACCGGTCGTAAGTCGAGGACTAAACCGGTCGTAAGTTGAGGACTAAACCGGTCGTAAGTCGAGGACTAAACCGGTCGTAAGTCGAGGACTACCCAACCGGTCGTAAGTCGAGGACTTTCCCTGCCCGGGAGCGCCGCGCATGCGTGGTTCNGCCCCCTGCACCGGCCGAGGCGTAGCTGGCAAGCGGCAGAGACGGAGCAGGCCGACCACCAGCTGGCCCAGCCCAAGGGAGGTAAGGCACCCGCCGGAAAAGGGGAAAAAAATGGCAGACAAAAAAAATGACGGACAAAAAAAATGGCGGACAGCCTTGCTTGGCGACCCCCGTGAAATGGTCGATCGACCCCAAATGGGGTCCCGACCCACAGGTTGAGAACCACTGTTCTAGCAGGAGCGCTGGATGCGGAATTAGATCATTGTACTAAACCCCATTCTCTTCTAGCAACGGTTGACGTGGCCTCGTAGGCTCACGAAACATCTTCAGGAAAACTAACAAGGTCAGGGAGTACTAAGGGCCCCACAATCAGCTTCATCTTTTAAACCAGCTTAAAAAGAGGGTAGGCACATTCAGTTTACCCCTGTCTTTCCTCGCGAGGGAGAACTTCAGCACAGGTTGCAACCTTCTTCATGTCATCTGAGATTGAAGAATTCAAAATTGAATTAACGGTCAGGCAATGTTCATATCGTTCCAACATTCTTTTGATCTTTTCTTTAGATACACCGTGAACGTTTCGCCTAAGTATCGAAAAGAACAAAACACTTGAGATGCTGCCAGCGCAACACAGCCACACTGCATGCAATTTTAACACATTTTTGAGATTTTTTAAAAAAAATTAACTACATTTGTTTCACGTCGACCTGCAGGCTCACGAACATTATCTAATTCTTCTCATGCTCTGGTCTAACTAAGCAAGGGATTTTTCCTTAAAGCCTTAGGTAGATGACTTCCAAAGCCCTTCCAAAATTGCAAGGAATTGTATTTTTTTTTTTACATGATACATAAATAGCCTATTTACTGACTTAAAGGATAAAAAAAAAGGACTGAGCTCTAAGTCATCCCACTTTTATATCAGTGAGGAAATATAGGAAATAATAGGAAATAATAATTAGAAATAATTATTTCTAATTATTAGAAATAATAATTAACAGGAAGATTAGTTGTTCTCAGATTTTATTAATGTCAATTTAAAAAAAAATACGTACTCTTGACGCTGTTTAAATGAAAAGCCTACACTCAAAGGTAATATTTCTAAGGTAAAAACAAGTAATATTCAGAAAATAAAGCTGCCATTCCTAATTATGCCATGAAATCTTACAATTATCGATAAAAACTAAGCAAAAAACAAACAAACAATGAATAGTATTGCAGAAATATAGATAATTTGAACTCAAGGCTGAGTAGAAGCCTCCTGCAGGCAACTGAGCGGATTCCTAGCTGAGATATGTTTATTAGTTATTTCTCATTGATGTTACACAGTAATGTTGTTGCAGAATTACTACTACTGCTGTTATTACCTTTCCAATTCTTTGGGTTTAAATTTCCACCATGTATCCGGTTCGCGAAATATAACTTTGTATTTGTGTTGCTGTGACTGAAGAAAAAGGTAAAAAAATAAATAAATTTAAAAAAAAGACATATCACCATCCGACTAGATTCTGTAACAACTTTGTACTATATAGTATCAACCTTGTTGATTCTCAAGACTCTTTTTTCTATGCATTCAATATGGACTGTGATTTAATATGTATGTATGTATGTATGTATATGTATGTATGTATGTATGTATGTATATGTATATGTTTATATGTCTGTGTGTGTGTGTGGATGTGTGTCTATATATATCTTTTGAAAGCAAGCATCCCAATTTCGTTTTTTAATGTGCGCCTGTGTGTTCACAGAAAAAAGTGACAATAAAGCTTATCTCATGGCTGGCTGGGGAATTCTGGGAGTTAAAGGCCCCGGGTCTTAAACGTGGCCAAAGTTGGACACCCTTGACTTAACTCCTTGAAGGAACCTCAAGAAATCCCACCACTGTAGGCTAGACTAGGATATTAAAAAATCATCCTTGAAGAAGAAAAGGACAAATTCTGTGGATACGGCTACCCAGAAAACAATATTACAACGTAATACCAAAAAATATGCAATACTAACCAAAGCAATATAAGGCTTCATTTCCCAAGCCTGCGTGTTTGTATTGTCTATGATTATAGGAGTGATCCTTTTCTCAAAGGCTTCTTTGGCTGACAAATAAATTGAGGGGGAAAAAAAATTAATCGTAAACTAACCAAACAATTTCTATTACATATTGCATGATGCTCTTTTCTGATAAGCTCTTTCGTACTCTCCAGCTTGTTTTTGAAGTAATTGCAGTAATATTTTTTTTTAAAAAAAAAAGGCAAAAGGAGTAAAAAAAGAACTTGAATATATAACATAATTCATAATTCTCTCGCAGGCAGGACCCTCCTGCCAGATCTGACCGGGTGGGTGGACACCACTGGGGAGAGATGGTCCCATAAGTAAACATCCCCCCCACTTCCCCGGGCCATGATACAGTAGCTTGAATTCCACCCGGAAACATCGTGGTAACCTGTGTCATATGTGCTGAATGACTGGCACGCATAATTGCCTGTACCGTCACGTGTACCAGCTGAAACTTCCAAATATCCCTCAAGGGTAGCACTTAAAGGGGCAAATGACTCCGAACAGTTTTTCCTTACTTTAATATATTTGGTACCGTGTTTTCCCGAAAATAAGACCCGGTCTTTTTCTTTTTTGCCTTCAAAAAAGGTCTTATTTTCGGCGGTGTCTTTTCCACTCACCTCCGGCATCGACAGGCCTGCCAATTGGCCCACTTCTTCTGCGGTGTCTCCCGGCCTGCATTTTGCGGTCCGAGGCTTTTCCGGAAGGCCTCTGCAGCCGATAACTGAGCTAATCCATAGCTCGGTTATCGGCTGCTTCCGGAAAAGCCTCGGACTGCAAAAATGCAGGCCGGGAGACGCCGCAGAAGAAGTGGGCCGGCAAGGAGAGGCAGGCTGCAACGGCAAGTGGGTGCGGGGACATGTGCCTCACCCCCAAACTAGGGCTTATTTTTGGGGTAGGGCTGATATTAGGCCCACCCCCCAAAAATCAAGCTACGGCTTATTTTCAGAGTAGGTCTTACTTTTGGCAAAACAGGCTAGTTCAGTTCCAGGGATGGGTTTTTCAATTGACGAGGAGCCCGGGGACACAAAATGTAGGCGTGTTGGATCTCATATGGTCTAATTTGGCAGATGTTTAATATGTGCCTTACTGCAAATACAATTAGCATCAATCCTGACAGAAATATTCCTTTAGGACTAGCAGAATGTATTCAGTTAATCTGATTTATTGATCAAATTTTATATCTGTTCTTCTTTAAAAAAAAAAAAGTGTTTTTCTGCTGCCGCTGAATTCTTACCACGTTTCCAATTCCACTCATGCGCGTCTGCTAAACAATCAGCATCAAACTGGTACTGCCCGTTCTTTTGATAAAAATAGTCATCTGTGCTAAGCATGATCCCACAAGGGTTATCCTCAAGCAAAACCCTGCGAAAAATGATAAACACAGCTCTAGTCTTTTTTTTTCCCCTTACAAATCACTGTGAAAAATAAACCTGCGTCTCATTCATCCTTGTGACTCTTTCTGTTTAAATCTTTCAGAAAATAAACCACAATAATCCGTGAGTTTTTTTGGAGTACCGTAGTAAGAGAAGTACATTCATAGGCTATCATATACCAAAACCATATTGGCTGTCAATTGTAATTTATTTTATTTATTACAGTAGTGGCCAAAATTGTGGAAACCTTTTGGGAAAAGTGTACAGTAGAAATGCCACCTTTGGTGAAGTTTCCACCCATTTTTCTTCTCATTTCTTTATAACTGTAGCCTTGTTCACTTAATAATACTATTTTATGTCGCTTTCTGGGCAACCAGTCAACTCTTTGCACCATTACTTTAATTTTATTACGTTTTACAAGCTCATTAAATGAAAGAACACAAAAAAACCCCAACCAACTTGACGACGATCACGTAACACATTGACAAATGTCCTCCTTTCAGCTTCAATACAGGACATCAAGAACTGAATCCTGTGATCTGATTGGCTCATTGCCAAAACAAGTTGACACCTGATTGGCTCTCCAAACACTCATGCTCATTGGCTACAATCGGATGAAGGAAAGCTACCTGAGATCAACCTAAGCAAGTTGTGCTTCCTTTTTCTGGTTATTTGGCTGTAACTTTTCATAGAATACAGTACAGATAATTGAACAAACTTTGTTGCATTACATTCTTGATTAAATTATCTTTCCATTGATATATAATTTTATGGTACTACTCCAAAAAGAAAGTGGTGTTATTAGCCATCAAACCTCAAAAATACACTTTTCCCAAAAGGTTTCCACAATTTTGGCCACTACTGTCCATTTCTACCCTGTCCATCTCACCTAAGTGACCCTGAATGGTCTACAATAAAAACATAAAAAGTAATATCAAAGCATACATTAGAGGTGAAGCAGAATTATGGACAACGTTAAAAATTAAGATGCTGCAAGTTAGAAAGCAACATTTTAAAATGGCAGGCTTTGTGTAACAGCCCACGCTTCCGTTCGAGGGCTAATCACGACCTGAAGGTGAGCCCCTGGCTTCTGCAGAGTCAATGAAAAGGTAGGGCTATGATAGGGTCCCAAAAGGGGATCACATGACCCCGGGACGCTGCAACCGTCATAAATCCGAGTCAGTTGCCAAATGTCCAGATTTGGATAGCAATAGCGCTTAGACTTATATACCGCTTTACAGTACTTTACAGCCCTCTCTAAGCGGGTTACAGTGTCAGGCTGTTGCCCCCCCCCAACAATCTGGGTCCTCATTTTACCGACCTCGGAAGGACGGAAGACTGAGTCAACCTTGAGCCAGTCTGGATCGAACTGCTGGCAGGTGGCAGAGTCAACCTGCAATACTGCATTATAACCACTGCACCATCACGGCTCGATCATGTGGCCATGGAGGCTGCAACAGTTGTGCAAAAAAGGGTCACGAGTCACGTTTTTCAATGCCCTTTTAATCGTAAACGGTCACTAAATGAACTTGTTAAGTCGAGGACTACCTGCATATGGTCAGAAGAGAATCTGGCTTGCAGATAGAATTTATACGGTGCGTCTGTGAGTGAGAAAAAGAGAACAACATTGTATTTCTGAATTTTTTGTATGTAGAACCTACCTCGCCAAATACGATTTGCCCGATCCCGGAAGCCCTCGTAGAAGAACCAGTACATGACCCGGGAAGGCTTTACTGTTCGTTACGTGACCTCCAGGCAGTGGATGGACTTGAGAAAAATGGTGTCTTTGTCGCCCGTTTTTATTGCCGCATCTCTTTGGCATCTCCCAGGATTTTGAAACTTCCGGAGAGCAAAAGGTCCTTACTTGACTCTTACCATCCGAAGCCGGTCTCCACTTCCCGGGACCGAGGGCAATCGGAGTCACAAAGCTATGGTTTCTACCTTGTGACTCGAACGCTGGATAAAAACTAAGCTGCTGAGGATATGTCTGAAACAGAGAAAACGGCGCACTCCACGTCTGCTGAGAAGGATCCGTCTCCTTCATAAAAGGTGCCGATCTCAAACCAGATCCCGTGCACAGGTCAGGAACGGGATTTTTTTTAAGATCGTTACAGAGAGCCACTCCATTTTCATGCTCTTCAGCGTCCCGTGAAGAAGAAGAAGAAGAAGAAGAATTAGGGGAGGCATTTGTCTCTATGTTTGCAAAACCGTGACACCGTTGAGCAGTCGGGGTGCTCATTGCNAAACCTAACCTGTATTCTACCACTTTATATTTCTTTTGAATATAAACACTCCATCTTCCCCATATTGATAAAAATTGTTCATTCGAGTGATTCTTCAAATAAGCCGAAATCTTTGCCATTTCAGCAAGATACGAAACTTTCAATCTCCAATCTCCCATCGTTGGCAGAATTGGGCTCTTCCAGTTTTGGGCTATTAACAATCTAGCAGCAGATAAACAATAAAGCATCAAATTTGTCTCTTTTACATCTAAATTTTGCACAATACCTAAAAGGAACAACTGTGGTAGAAAAGTAATCCTTTTTTAAAAAATCTGCTGTAAGTTACACCATAATTGTATAGGAGCCCCTGGCTTCTTCACAGAGTCAATGAAAAGGTAGGGCTATGATAGGGTCCCAAAAGGGGATCACATGACCCCGGGACGCTGCAACCGTCATAAATCTGAGTCAGTTGCCAAATGTCCAGATTTGGATAGCAATAGCGCTTAGACTTATATACCGCTTTACAGTACTTTACAGCCCTCTCTAAGCGGGTTACAGTGTTAGGCTGTTGCCCCCCCCCAACAATCTGGGTCCTCATTTTACCGACCTTGGAAGGACGGAAGGCTGAGTGAACCTTGAGCCAGTCTGGATCGAACTGCTGGCAGGTGGCAGAGTCAACCTGCAATAATGCATTATAACCACTGCACCATCACGGCTCGATCATGTGGCCATGGAGAGGCTGCAACAGTCGTGCAAAAAAGGGTCACGAGTCAACGTTTTTCAATGCCCTTTTAATCGTGAACGGTCACTAAATGAACTTGTTAAGTCGAGGACTACCTGCATATGGTCAGAAGAGAATCTGGCTTGCAGACAGAATTTATACGGTGCGTCTGTGAGTGAGAAAAAGAGAGCAACATTGTATTTCTGAATCTTTTGTGTGTAGAACCTACCTCGCCAAATACGATTTGCCCGATCCCGGAAGCCCTCGGAGAAGAACCAGTACATGACCCGGGAAGGCTTTACTGTTCGTTACGTGACCTCCAGGCAGTGGATGGACTTGAGAAAAATGGTGTCTTTGTCGCCCGTTTTTATTGCTGCATCTCTTTGGCATCTCCCAGGATTTTGAAACTTCCGGAGAGCAAAAGGTCCTTACTTGACTCTTACCATCCGAAGCCGGTCTCCACTTCCCGGGACCGAGGGCAATCGGAGTCACAAAGCTATGGTTTCTACCTTGTGAATCGAACGCTGGATAAAAACTAAGCTGCTGAGGATAAGTCTGAAACAGAGAAAACCGCGCACTCCACGTCTGCTGAGAAGGATCCGCCTCCTTCGTAAAAGGTGCCGATCTCAAACCAGATCCCGTGCACAGGTCAGGAACGGGATTTTTTTTAAGATCGTTACAGAGAGCCACTCCATTTTCATGCTCTTCAGCGTCCCGTGAAGAAGAAGAAGAAGAAGAAGAATTAGGGGAGGCATTTGTCTCTATGTTTGCAAAACCGTGACACCGTTGAGCAGTCGGGGTGCTCATTGCTATAAAGTCAAATAAAACCTTTTGCATTTGATTCGGATCAGCGTAAGACTCTGCCTTGTCGGCTAACGTCACGATTTCTGAAACGGCACCGCTGTCCAGGACAACTTCTGGCAAACTGCAGCTCTCTGGGTTTGGTGTCAAAATATCCTTTGTCTCAACCTCTGTTATGGACATTGACTCCGACGCTTCCCTGTAATTTGGTTTCGATGCAGTGAACCAGTTTTCTATTGCTGATCCGCTGGATTTTATACATAGTTCAGTGCAATTGGAATTACTGTGGTCCTGAGCCAGAGTTAGACTACCTAAGAGACGATCGTTTCCTGATTCTTTTGCTTCGCTTGTTTGACCGCATTTCTCAAGAGCATTATCTATCAGGAGGGCCAGTTCTTCAGATGACCAGGGCTGCTGTGATTCTTCACCACACTTCGCCACTGCAGCAGTAGTATCGTTGCCCTCGAGTTCATGAGTACTACAGCTTGAGTTATTTCCACCAACTAGCAAGGCAGAGAGGGAATCAAAACCTGAGACGTTTGATGAACATATTGTATCCTTCGCCGCCGTGGACAGTTCTAGCAGATAATCCATAGTGTCTTCCACTAGTAAAAACAAAGCAATTGGAGAATGTGATTTATGACTGTTAATTAAAGGAGGGAATTGTGCTTTGATACTATGTGCTCAGGGGAGGGGAATCCAGTTTTTGGCTTGAACTACGTTAGTGCTGAAGCTATGCTACTCCAATAAAGATTGTTTAAGGTAAACAATGCCTCAAAGTTCTTTGAAGAGTTTCATCTGTCGGAACCGTGACATCAGGAGGATTTTCAACCAACACAACATACATAGACACTTTAAAGCCAAGAATACACTTAATACATCAGCAAGTTCCTGAGGCATCCTTGGACAATGTGTTGGCTCTGCTGAAAGTTCAAAAGCAGAAGGCAAAAGGCAAATCAACAGAAAAATGCGGGGGGGGGGGACCAAAGAGATCTCTGGGTCAAAGAGTTCTCGGTCACTTGATGGAATACCCCCGGGGCTGGAATTGATCCCTAGCATCAGCATCCTTTTTTTTAGCCCCCACCTATAAAGTGAAGTGGGGAGGGAAATAACCACTTTAAACTGATATTTGCTGTAGGAAAAAGGACCAAACTGACCGCAGACGTTGATTTGGCTTACCTCTGAAATCACATTCCGACAGCACCATGTAGATGACCGTGGGATCCAAGTCCGAGAACATTTCGGAAAGTCCGCTGACGAGTTCTTCTTTATTGATCCCATGTAATGAAGCTGGTGAGGACGAGGCGTCAGGAGCAGACATTGTCTCTGGGTTTGCGTTTTTCCTCGATGGGCTCACGCCAAGGTTTTTCTTCTTCTTTGGCATTTTCTTTTTCAAAATGGAATTGCCGTCACCGCATGACGCCGCTGACGCCGAGAACAAGGCCAATTATTCTTCCAGGCCACATCTTTGGGGCGATCGTAGCAACCTAGAATGGAAAAATGTATGTTAGAAGCTGCAGCTGAATCCTAAGTTGAATCGAGCGTTTCTCCCCCCCCCCCCATGCTTTCTAGCAGGCTCAGAAAAAATGGAATTGGAAAAGGAGGAAATATATTACCTAAAGCGTTTTCAAAAATGAAAGAAGAATTGTGTATTCAAGAAACGTGGAGAGAGAGATACCCAGAAAAACTACAATATACATTCTATTCAAATAGACATAAGTCATGGTCTAGAATTGATATGATATGGACATCTTTCGACTTGAAAATGATGATACAAGAGGTGGAGATAGAAACTAATGTTTGGGCAGATCACAACCCAATAAAAATGACTTGGAAAGGAACCAAGAAAAAAACTTAAGATGGTCCCTGAATAAATCTATATTGAAAGAAAAAGAATTCTTACAACTAGCAACAAAGGAAATGGAATTTAAAAAAAAAAAAGAAACAAGAAAAAAGAAACATCCTTCCAAAATGTATGGGACACGGCCAAAGCATATTTTAGAGGGTTGGCCATAACCCATGCCTCTAAAAAGAATAAAGAAAAGAAATGATTACAGTTAAAGTTGAGAGAAGAACTTAAAAAATTGGAACTAGAGTTACAAATAGACCCACAAAAGAAAGTCCTCAAGAAACAAATGGAGATAATATAAATTAAACCTGCCAGAGATGGATATAATGGCACAACAGATCAAACGGACTAAACAGAATTTTTTTGAAAATGCCAAAAAGGTGGAATTGTTTACGCTTGAAACTAAAGTTTAATTACAAATCTAAAGGAAATATAAATACAGTATTAAAGCAAAAAGAGAGAGAGATAATGGTTGAATATTCAAGCAGCAACATTATTTGAACATAAAGTATTCAAACCTCTTTTTTAAAAAACCATATAACAATATGTAACATATTTATATACAAAATAGCCCAGTCACTAAACAAATGGTTTTAAGTCAAAGGCTGCACCTGTCGACTTATTCCACAGGTTGTTTCTTTTATATTATAATTGGGGGGGGGGAGAAAGACTGCAGCATCAGCTTAATTAAAATATGGCGAGAGATCAAGCGGCCTTAGAGAATTGTGTAAGACGAGTTTAGTTCTTGGCAAACATGCGTCTCATATCACTTAATGATTTCACAAGAAAAAAAAAAAATCTGCAGAAGGTTTTGAGTTAAGAACTTCAGAGCCATCTGTGAAATGTCACAGGGGTGGGGATAGGAAAAACTTGACTTTTAAAATCCTCATCAGGCCCAGAACTAGATCTGGAAAATGATGCAATGGGCTTCAATTTCAGGCTTTCTTGCTGTGCTCATTCAAAAATATCAAAACACAAGTAAGCGCTCACAAAATAACTTCCTGCTCGTTTCTTTCCCTCCCCGTTTTTATTGAAATCGCCTCAGCCTTTGTTCATAATCAAGCACCTCGTGACTTTCCTTCCTCAACAACAACAACCAAGGTATATTCACACCTGCAGTGTTGTATTTTGCTCGTTTTACACTCCATGTTCACTAGCTTTGGTTCCACGGGTTTATATTTCACTCTATTCATGTATTCACAGCTGAAACGGCACAGATCAGAATTACTTCTCCGCAACGAACGATTTTGTTTCTCTTTGTTTTCACCTCCATTTCTTCATTTTTAGGATGGATCGGTGTACAGTCAGAAAAACCAGTGCAGTTAAAAGTCAGAGGGTTCCTGGAATTATAAAAACAACAATAAATCCATTACGTGTTTGATGGGAGCCACGTACCAATTTTTGACAGCATTAAAAAAATAATACAGGATGTCCTCGACTTACAACCATTTAGGGACCGTTCAAAGTTACAACGGCACTGAAAAAAGGGACTCCTCTATTTTCTTTTCTTCATCAAGTATAGATCAAAAAGGACTGTCTTTCTCCAGAAGGGCAACAAGGTATAAAATCCCTTGAATTTGGTGATCCTTTAAAAGATTTCAAGTGGAGTTGGCATTACAGCTCCAAAATATATGCTATTTATCTGATAGGAAGGCAAACTTTTTCTTCGAGTAATGTTAACTCTAGAAGCATCTACCTACCATTCCCAGATAAACAATAATGGATAATTAAAGATTCGTACATTATTTTCATTTTGGGTATTTGCTAAAGAAACCTCTCTGGTGTATCTTCAGGAAAATTGGCTGGGTGTAAAAAAATGTTCTTTTTAAAAAAAAGTAAAATATTTTATTAATTCGCAGTGTGAATTAACGAGAAACGCCCATACTGCTGGTTACATCAGCCTAACCTTTAATTAGCTCCTATACACTGTTAATTTGCTCAATAGCCTTTGAGACATTTGTGGACGAGGAAGAACAGAATTACAAAGAAGAAATTAGTCATAGTCTAATTTTAAAAACAGCGAGAAAGGCTCTTGTATTTTTTACACAATGCTCAGTTCTTTCTTGTCATTTTCTAGGTTGACAATAAGAAACAAGACAAAGTTTCCGAGATTGAAAGTCTAAGCGTGCAGCGTACATTGTAACAATTTTGGACCCCATCCCCTTGAAGCTGTTTTATTTGATATTAACTTAAAACACCTATTTTGAGTTGTTTCTCTCTCTCTCTCTCTCTCTCTCTTGGATGATAGAAAAGTACTAAACAGTAGGGACCAAACACAGACAATTATGTCTTTTTAACAGGATTAAAGGTCACACCACAACCTCATGATCACAAAAGTGTTAACTGCACATGCTTTTAAAAAGAACAGAGCTAACAACAACACATTGTGAATCCTTCATTTGTTGAATCAGTTTTATAGACTTGCTTTAGTCTTCACAGCTCTGAACACCCAGTGTACACTGCAGCAACAGCACCAATTTATAAAATAATTAAATATAAAAATAATCAGTCACCTCGATCAGCAAAAGTTAGTTTAAAAATAATGCATTTGGTCAATGCAATGAAAATAAATGGCCCCCCAAATGATGCCAAGCTTCTTGCCATAGTTGTTAAGTGAACCGCTGCAGTTGTTAAGTTAGTGCTACGGTTGTTAAGTTGAGTCTGGTCTCCCTATTGACTTTTGTCCATCAGATGGTCGCGGAAGACAATCGCATGACTCTGGGACGCTGCGGCCATCGTAAATACGAGTCAGAGCCCAAGTGGGTGAATTTGGACCCCATGTGCCTCAAAGGGTCGTAAGTATGAAAAAAAGGGTCGTAAGTATGAAAAAAGGGTCGTAAGTATGAAAAAAGGGTCGTAAGTATGAAAAAAAGGGTCGTAAGTATGAAAAAAAGGGTCGTAAGTATGAAAAAAAGGGTCGTAAGTATGGAAAAAAGGGTCGTAAGTATGAAAAAAAGGGTCGTAAGTATGGAAAAAAGGGTCGTAAGTATGGAAAAAAGGGTCATAAGTATGAAAAAAGGGTCGTAAGTATGGAAAAAAGGGTCGTAAGTATGGAAAAAAGGGTCGTAAGTATGGAAAAAAGGGTCGTAAGTATGAAAAAAAGCGGTCCTAGGTCACTGTTTTTTCAGTGCCGTCGTAACTTTGAACGGTCACTAAAGCGAACTGTTGTTCAGTCGAGGACCACAGTCTTTTTTCTCCAAAAAAGGGGGGGAAAGAGGGGCGACCCACACCGTAGGACCCACTTCGGGGGATCAACCCGTAAAAAGAAAGAAATATGAATAAAAATAAAAAAGTTTAAAAAAAATAAAATAAAAAAACAATAAAATAAAAAATAAACAAACAATAAAGAAAAAAATAAAAAATAAAGAAAAAAATAAACAAAAAACAATAAAATAGAAAATAAACAAACAATAAAGAAAAAAATAATAAAGAAAAAAAATAAACAAAAAGGGCGGGCTTGTGAGGGGGGAGGGGAGAGAAATCCTGAGGTCAATCCTGAGGCGAAACGGGCCTTTCCTGAGGGGGTTTCCGGAGGGTCTGAGGCGGGATAGGGGCGCCTCGGCCTTTCCCTCAAGGAGGGCGAGGAGGACCCGCGCTTTGGGGCCGCCACGGGGATTGGGAGCCCGGCCGGGTTAGAAGCCAAGCGAGGCGGCGGCGGAGGAGGTCTCCTAGGCCGCCATGGAGGAGGCCTCCTTCCTTCCTTCCCTCCCGCCCTCCCTACCTCAACCGCTCCGGCCATTTCTGCGGGTCGCGGCCTCCCCCCTTACCTCGCCGGCAGGTCCGCCTCCTTCCGCAAGGCGGGCTTGGCCTTGGCGGCGCTTCCCGAGCGAGTCGCGAGAGGAGGAGCAGGAGGCGGAGGAGCAGGAGGCGGAGGAGGCCCGGGCGCCGCCTCCTCCTCTCCCTCCCCGAGAGCCCGGCCTGGCCCTCCTCGCTCGCCCGCTGGCAGGCCTGGCGTAGTCGACGCGCACGCGGCCCTGCCAGGGTGGGAACCCTTCGCTGTTTGGGCTCCGGCCGAGGGCAGGGCGCCCCTGGGAGGGCGGCCTTTCCGTCCGCCGGCGGGGCTGCCGGCGGGAGTTTTTCAGCCCGGATCCGGCAGCCCGTAAAGGAGAGAGGGTGGGAATGAGAGAATGGTTGCCCTGGTGCAGCGTTTCTCAACCTTGACCATTTTAAGGCCTGTGGACTTCAACTCCCAGAATTCCACAGCCAGCGTTGCTGGCTGTGGGAATTCTGGGAGTTGAAGTCCACAGGCCTTAAAATGGTCAAGGTTGAGAAACGCTGCAAGTCTGGGGGCTTCCTTGCGGACGTTTCGTGACCCAACAAGGGAACGTCGTCAGTGTTAGGAGGAGAGGGAGTTTGAGAAGGAAGAGAAGTTTGAGCAGGATGAGTTGGAGGAGGAAGAGGGTGCTGGTGACGTCCTTTCTGCTCTCTGAGCTTGGTTGTTTCCTGATAGACGTTTCATGACCCAACTAGGGAACTTCATCAGTGCTAGAAGGGAGTGGAAGTTTGCAGGGAGGAGGAGGAGAACGGTGACGGTGGGGTCCTTGATGGTCTCTGCAGATGTTTCACTACCCAACTAGGAAACATCATCAGTGCTAGAAGGGAGAAGGGAGGAGGACTGGGGGGTTCTTGATGGTCTCTGCAGATGTTTCACTACCCAACTAGGAAACATCATCAGTGCTAGAAGGGAGAAGGGAGGAGGACTGGGGGGTCCTTGATGGTCTCTACAGATGTTTCATTACCCAGCTAGGAAACATCATCAGTGCTAGAAGGGAGAAGGGAGGAGGATGAGGACTGGGGGGGGGGG